TGTGTGTGTGTGGCCAGCTCAGCCCACCAGGGGGCGGGGCTGGCTGGCATGTGGTGCTGGGGGATTGAACCGCTGTGCCTGTGCTTTGCTTAGCCTGTTCTAAGTAGGTGCTTTAGACCACTGAGCCATCTCACCAGCCCTGTATGATTTATATTGAGAGGTGTTTTTTTTCTTCTCATAAAGAGTAAAAATATTTTTCCACATCTAACTTGGAAGGCTGCCTCGTCATAAATTTATAAATTAATTTCAGATATGATTATCTTTTGTTGAGTGGCTTTTCTGAATCTCAGTTTTCATGGCCATAAAACAGGCATCTTGGAGCAGATATCTGAGGTTCTTTCTGATACTGTGATTGTGTGATTACACCGGGGCCCTGAACGAAGTTGAGAACAAGCTTAAACTCCCCAGGAACAAAGCAGCTATGAAAATGGAATATTTTTTGGTGAATATTTTCCCCCAGTCTATTCGATTTTTCCAAATTAGAATCTGACCCTGGTCTCTAACTTTTTCTTTTTAAACAAATATTATTTTATTACTTACAAAGCACACAGTAATAACCAAGAGTCCAGAGGGTTAAAGAACAACAAAGTACCTGTGACAACAGAGTACCAGTCCCAGGGGATCCACTTAGGACAGAGCAGTTCTGCCACAGATAGATAAGGTTGAGGTGAGGTGTACCAGTGTTTAAATGCCAATTACTCAGAAATATACCTTGACCAAAGCAGACACGTCCTGGCAGTGAATCTAAATGTGCTCTAAGTTAAATTATTGCATGGCATCTAAATTTCTAAATGCTATGTGGAGGCATTTTTAGAAAAAGGATATATGGAAAGAGACTGGAATGGCATGAATAACAACGTAAACCGTTTTCCTGAAGTTTAATAGCTTCCCGTAATTCACTTACATAGCTTGGCGAAGGGCTGGGGGCAGCCCCGCTGAAAGGGTGAGGACTGCACAGGCTGTTTGATTGCTTGTTTTCATACCTTAACCAAAGCCATAATCTCCGTTTACATTTGACTTTGTTTTACAGCGGAAGCGGAAGCAGAGCGCGCAAGATGAGGATGCTGCCAGCCTTTGCAGTCTCGACATAAGCGTAAGTGCAGGTCTTTGTGACTCTCCCCTACCCCTGCCCGCGCCATTATCCAGAAGAGGCCGAGACCGCCTCTTCTCTGAATGATATTTGATAAAATGCTGGGCACTTTAAGTGGCCTTCCAGAGCCGGGCTGTGGCTGCTGTGACACGGAGGGGCAGTAAAAAAAAAGATCTGAGCGAGTACTTTGAGGATAACAACATGCAATATATAATCATTGTTAATTTCCTATTATTTTATTTTGAAATGCTGTATCATTGTTTTTACTGTTTTTTTTTCCCTCTTTAAAATTAAAAAGAAAATTTTTTTAGTTTACCAGAAAAGGTTGTATAGCCGATTTAAACTTTCTCGCCAACTTGTTCATTGCCTGTGTCTTTTCTCTCATAAAATAAATTATGAACTTAATGCATCTGGGTAAAAGAAAGTTAAATCCTGCTGCCGTGCTACTTAGAGGGTGGCTTAAGAAGATAGTTATGGCTTCCTTGGAGGTGGAAATTAGTGGCTTGGCTGGCTCAGGGAGCCGGATAGCCCAAAAGCTGAAGGGACCGCTGCACCGTGGTGGATTTGGACTTAGTGGGTATTGCTTCGAATCAAGATTCTGTACTTTTTGCTTGGGTGGCATGTTTCCTCATCTGAATAATAAGAATGAAACTGATTTACCCCAATTTTTTTTTTTTTTAATGTATTTAGTGCAGGGTCTACAGGGGCTCACTACACAGATCAGACTTGTAGTGATTCTCCTGCTTTCAGCCTCCCCAAGGGCTAGGGTTACAGGTGTGTGCCACTACGCCCAGTCTCAATAGTCAGCGTGCCCTAGGGGCAGGATGGCACAGCAAGCCAGGGATCAAACCCCCAGCCCCTGCCACTGCCTAAGTTACCCAAACTTTTTGATCAAATAAAACAATAAAAGTGAGAATAGTGAGTATATTACCTGGTACATACGAAGCACCCATCAAACATTAGCCTTGTTTTTCTATAAAAGCCGAAGTTTGCAAAAGAGACTAAATACTGTTGATGACAGAGATAAACTATCCTTGTGGTGTTTGGCTATTGTCTTTCTTTCTTGGGGAGTATCAGAAATCAAACTCAGGACCTTGCACTTGCCAGGCAGGGTCCTTGCGCTGCTGAGCTGTAGCCTCAGCCCTTCCTTGGGGTTTTTAGGTCATATTCTTAGATGCTTATTTGTTAACAGATATCTGTACACAGATTTATCTCCCTCCTAGTGTAATTGGAGAACGTCCGTCGCCTCTGATCTCCGCATTATCCAGGACCTGCGGCTGGGGTGGAGATTCAGTCCCTCCTTGGGTTTCTCCAGACCCCCTATCCAAGCATTTTGCACACTTCCTTGGGGCTCAACTACTGTGTACTCTGGACCCACCTAACATTCGGCTTTAGTGTCTGTCCTCTATATAGGGGCTACCTCTACAGAAAGCTATCATTATGTGATGGGAAGGTTTCCATGCTAAGAATTAAGAATTGAGTTGTGGTCTTGGCTCTACCCGTACCTAACAATATAACCACTTCTCTTCTGCTTGCTTCAGTTTCTCCTTAGAAAAAGAAAAAGGAAAAAAAAAAGAAGACTAGTGATCAGATCTTCTACAACTATTATATATCGGGTGTGGTATATGCCTATACTCCAAGCACTCAGGAGGCTGAAGCAGGAGGATCACAAGTTTCAGGTCAGCCTGGGCTATGTAGTAAGTTCAAGGCCAGCCTGAACTACACGGCAAGACCCTGTTTCAAACTAAAAAAAAAAAAAAAAAAAAAAAAATCTATTGGGAAAATTAAAACTTGCTAACTATGGGTATTAGGTTCTCATGTGATGACATTTACTGACCTATGGAATGAAAAGGCTATTTTAGCTATTTTTAATTATTGCAGAGTTTTCTGTGATGCAGTCAGTCATGATGGAGTGAGCCTGAGGTGGCATCTAACTAAGGTACTTGAGCATCTCTATTCACCATGTGGTGTTTATCTGTTCCAGTCTTTGGACCATTTGATGGATGAAGTTGGTACAGCTTGCTAGGTTGCCATGGTGACATGACAAAAGGATGATGTTCTTCTGAGTTTTACTTTATTCACTGAACATTTTATTATTGACAAGTGAAGCCACAGAACTTCCGTCATCAGCAGTAAGAGTTTTTGTGTTTGTACATTTTTAATTCTGTGGAATTTACTTGTAGAACTTAAAAAGACAGGATTTGAAGAACTCTCTGCCATCATGCATTCCAAGAAGTGGAAGCCCAGGAAGGTGTAGTGAGCAGACAAGACTGACCTAAGTCATCCCGAAGTCATGTCCCATCATACAGTTTTCTTCAGCTAGACATTGCTATTTGTTTTTCAAGGGAGCACATTCTGATACTTCTCCCCCACCCCCAACAGGGATTGAAATTCTTTTTTTTTTTAAAAAAAACTTTTTAAAAAAATTTTATTTATTTATGTGTGTGTGTGTGTGTGTGTGTGGCCAGCTCAGCCCACCAGGGGGCGGGGCTGGCTGGCATGTGGTGCTAGGGGATTGAACCAGGTGCTTTGCTAAGCTTGTTTTTTCTTGTTTTTTTTTTTTTTTTTTTGGCAGAACCAGGGATTGAACTCAGGTCCTTAAGTTTGCCGGGCAAACGCTTATTCTACTGAGCCATCTCCCCGGCCCTTAAGCTTGTTCTAAGTAGGTGCTTTAGACCACTGAGCCATCTCACCAGCCCCCGGGGATTGAAATTCTGATGCTTCTTATCAAAGAACCACTCGTATCTGACTTGCAAGGATTACTGGGAGTTAAGAGTCCTGATTGGTTCTTGTCTTGATTGGCATCACAGACCTGGCCTTCTCAAGGTCACTTGAGCCTCAGATAATGATTCATTCTTAGATAATGGACTTTTTTTTCTTATGCAACTGCAGATGATGTTCCCTTTTTTCTTAACTATCTCATACATCATATTTTATTACAGTTATGAGAAATTTATAGAACTCTATCCTGTTACCACCAACAGGGCTGTGCTTAGGGATTCAACCATAGCCTGAGTCATTTCTGATTTGGGGGTGTTGTTTGCTTGTTTTTCACTGCACTTCTTAAATTTTATTTTATTTTATTGGTGGAACTGAGGATTGAACTCAGGCCCTTGCACTTGCCAGGAAATCACTTATTCTACTGAGCCATCTCCCTGGCCCGTTTGCTTGTTTTTGAGGCAAGATGTCACGTGTAGTTGCGGTTGGCCTTGAACTCACTTTGTAGCCCAAGTTGGCCTCGAAATTGCACCTGGCCTAACCAGTGTTATTGCAGAGATTTTTTTTTTTTTTTTTTTTTTTTTTTTTTTTTTTTTTTTTTGGTGGCACTGGAGACTTGGTGGTACTCAGGGTGTAGTGGGTTGTAATACTCAGCTGGGCGTGGGAGGTCCACCTGAGGATTGTTGCCGGCAGCATAAGAGGCAGAACTGGAGCAGCTTTTGAGCGGCTGTTAGGGAAGCTGTTTGGAGAAGCTGTTGGAGCCGATGGAAGTTGCTGGTTCTCCTGGGCTATTCTGCTGAAGGACCTTGTCATCCTGGCTTTCCTGATGAACTTGGATGCTCTTGTCACTGGAGGAGCTCGGGATATTCATTGTTGGTGAAAATGACTATGGTTTATTTTAGGGGAGCTCTGGTCCTCACCTTGACCATTGCTTCCTGGCTGTGGAGGAGAAGATAGTGCTGTTCAGCCTCCTGGAGAAGCTAGTCATGTTGGCTTTCCTGACAGCAGCTCAATTCTCCTCACTGCTGGAGGAGCTCGGAACCACACTGCTGCTGAGGACGGCTGCGGTGCCTTTGGGGGAGCTCTGGTGCTTACCTTGAGCATTGCTTCCTGGCTCCAGTGCAGATCCCTCAGCCTGCTAGCACACATCCTTCATCCCACTGGCATAGAATTTGTAGCTTCCATCACTGACCTTTGGGCCTTCCCAGTGTAGATCCATGAAGTGAGCCTGCATGAGACATTGTTGTGGGCTCTAGGCCTCCAGTTGGACTTGTGGGGGGCTGTTATAAGCTCTAGATTTTCAGCTGGACTCGTGCAGGATATTAGGATCCAGGCCCTCAGCTGGATTCTTTGATTTTTTTTTTTTATGAGCAGAATATATTTATTGAGAGAAAGAAAACTCCTGTCCCAACAGAGGGACAGGAGGGGGGGCCCGAGCAGCTAGTTCCCCCCGGGAAGTTGTCTCTTGCCGGGACTTTTATAGAGGAAAACCATGTGGTGAGGTGGGTCTAAGGTGGTGGAGAAGACAAGGGAACTTGCTTAGTTGGGCATGAGGTGAGACCAAACTATGGTCAACCAATGAGATTACAAGCACCATTGCTTAGGTAAAATTGATTAAATACAAAACAGAAGCAATTGTAAGCAATTTTAACAGTACTATGTGAAGCAAAACTGTATGAGGCAAAGCATGAACAATTATGAGCAATGGGCAAAGACATATTAACATTTGAAACATAAATTTGTTACCTAAGCAAATCCCAATTCAGAATTTATGAAAGAAAAGCAAACTCATGGGCCGGGGAGATGGCTCAGTGGAATAAGCGCTTCCATGGCAAGCGCAAGGGTCTGAGTTCAATCCCCAGTTCTGCCAAAAAAAAAAAAAAAAGTGAACTCATACCTCCATCCAGTGATCTCGGTGAGAAACTCCAAATGCATTTTAGGAACAAATAGAGGTTATGAGCAGAATATATTTATTGAGAGAAAGAAAGCTCCTGTCCTGAGAGAGGGACAGGAGGGGGGGCCCGAGTGGGTAGTTCCCCCCTGATCTTTAGTGTGGATAGATTTCCTGCACTCTTGTATGAGTCTTTGTGTGATTATAAATTAATCTCATAAAATGTGTCCTGTATTGTATTGTTTCCCTTGCAAAAACCCCAAACCGTGACACTAGGCTTGTGCATCCTAAGCAGGCACTCGACCACTGAGCTACAGTCCGAGCCCAGAAATTATTTATTGTTGTTTTGAGATAGATCTTGCTGTTTTGCCCAAGCTGACCTCAAAAATCTTAG